TTAGCTGAGGAAAAATGATGGTCGAGTTCTCTAAAGTGCATTAAAAAATCACCCAAAACTTACTGGCTTAAAACAAAACCATTTTATTATACCCCATTATTTTGTACGTCAGAAACTCAGGCTGGACTTGGCTCAGCAATTCTTATGCTCCACATAGCATTGATTGTAGTCACACAGTGATATTCAGCTGGCATCCTGGCGAATGTAGAGAGTAGAAGATGGCTTCACTCAAATGCCTGTACCTTAGCAGGGATGGCTCGAAAGCCTCTCCCTCTCCATATAGTCTTAGAGTCTCTCCACATGGTCTCACCATCAGGGTAGGTGAATTTCTCATATGATGGCTCAGTAGCAAGTGTTCTAAGAGACCCAAAAGGAAGATGCAATGTTTCCTATGATCTTTGCCTCTGAAGACCCAGAGCATAATTCTAACCGTCTTCTATTGGTAAGACAAATTACTATAGCCAGCCCAGATTCAAGGACAAGGAAACTACATTGCACCTCTCAATGGGAAAAGTAGCAAAGGCTTTGAAATCATCTTCAGTCTATCACAATCAGCCCTCTGGCCACAAATAATTTACATATTCCCCACATACCAAAATACATTCATACCCTCCCATGGTCACCCAAAACGTCATCCCCTTGGGGGACTGTGAGTTCATGTTAATAGGAGGAAGAACAATTCAGAAAAGGAGGGCAAGAATAGTGGCAAAACTTAAAGAATTTAATCAACGTCACTGAATTGTACATGTAGAAATTGTTGAATTGGTGTATTTTAGTTGTGTATACTTTCAACAATAATAAAAAAATAAAAACAAGTGAAACAGCCATATATATATAAACCAAACCTGTTGCCGTATCATCCTATTATAGAATCAGCTTCGAGTCCAGCATCCTGAGATCTAATGCATATTCAAGTATGGATGAGGCTCACTGGCTGCAACTACTTGAATAGGGTCCCTCTTGATTTGAAGACCTGTGAACTAAAGATACAAGTCATCTGTTCTCACAAACACTTAACTAACACTGATGATACAGTGGCAAGATAACTACAATAAACACTCCTATTGAGAAAGGTGGAATACACAGGAGTCACATTGCAATCCCTTGTCCATAATAATTCTAAAATCTAAGCAGGCACATTTTGCCCTTTTTCTTGATTAGCCCAATTCTGCTCCTTGGAATAAGCCTCTGTGGTTCTTGACTCTGCCTCCTGGGCTTTTGGTTCCATCCTCCAAATCATCTTTCCTTTTCCAGGTAAAAAACAGCCCATGTTACAGCTGAGTGGTTTTCTTATCCTATCACGTTGCCCATAGTAGGTTGAGGATCAAAGACCTTTTTTTACTTTGTACTATCTCTGTCCTTCTCAGTCCAATCTGATATAATTTCTTGAAAAACTTTCACATTTTTTACTATTAGTATTAATAGCTATAACTTTTTCTCTAAGCACAGATTTGGCTGCATTTTCTACCCATTCTTTAATCTATTTTTAATTTTATTAGAATAAAAACATTTTCATTATATTTACAGATTTATGTTTGTGAAATTTGATATTAATTTACTTAGAATTTATTTACACTTTGATGTCAATAGTTACATCTCCTTTAATATTCCTCATGTTGCACATTTTATTTTCTCTTTTTTTTTATAACAGATTAGCCAGAAGTTTGTCTATATTGTACTTTATCTTAATATATGCTAAGGCACTGTATACACTGTAGAAGATACCTTATTCCACAAAGTTTTACATTCATCTGCTAGATTTTTCTGGAGGAAAAGGCAATAGGGCCTTCTACAAGAGTAGAAATCATGGAAAAAATGAGTCAAAGGGAGGTAATATTGTTTCTCACCACCTGTCTGTCAGTTTGTCGTACTCTGGTGGCTTGTGTGTTGCTGTGATGCTGGAAGCTATGTCACTAGAATTTCAAATACCAGCAGGGTCATCCATGGTAGACAGGTTTCAGTGGAACTTCCAGATTAAGGTAGATTAGGAAGAAAGGCCTGGTAATCTACTTCTGAAAATAAGCTAACAAAAACCTTATGGATTAAAACAGAACATTGTGTGAATCACTTGCTTTGGACATGTCATCAGGAGGGATCAAACACTGAAGGAGGACATCATATTTAGTCAAGTAGAGGGCCAGTGAGGGCAACGGAGACCTTTGGTGTGATAGACTGGCACAATAACTGCAACTATGGACTCAAACATGCCAGTGACCATGAAGATGATGCAGGACCAGACAAAGTTTTGTTCTGTTGTCACCATGAGTCAGAGTTGACTCAACAGAGTGGCTATCTGTTTCTATCTTTATTTCAGGTACAGGAAAGCTCTTGAGGTATGGAAGAGTATGGTATAGTGGGAATTACAAGCAGTATAGTTTTATACAGCATGGTAGAAAGTGATGGTAGATAAGAATGGAAAACCTATTAACTAAAATATTAATCAGAAATCATGCAGAAGAGATACAGGAGGCAGGGAATAAATTTAGAGGCAACTGCAGTAACCAGACTCGATCATAAGCCCCTATAAAAAAGGCAGTAGAAGCAGTGACAGTGACCACTTGAGAGACATTACAAAAACATATGGCAGGTATATTCTTTGCCTGAACCAGCATGCATGTATTGAACTGTAATTTCATGCCTCCTACCTGTTAGCTATTGTTGAAAAGGAAGTCCCACTGTCCTCCATCTCTCACCCCAAAGAAATGCTGCTTCCAAAATTCTACTCTAGTACTATCTTAGTTACCAAGTGCTTCAGTAACAAAAATATCATAAATGGGTGGCTTTAAAGAACAGAAATTTATTTTATTACAGGTCAGGAGGTTAGAAGTCCAAATTCAGAGTCTGTCTCTAGCAGGATGTCCTTCCTTTTTGGTAGTCCCAGGAGTTCCTTGGCATTTATCTTCCCCCTGCGTGTGTCTCTGTGTCTATTCTGCTCCTTTTATAACTCAGAAGTGATTAGCTGTAGGATCCACCCTACTCTGGTATGACCTCATTAACATAACAAAACCTTATTTCCAAACAGGATCTTGTTAACAGGTACAGGGGTTAGGATTTCAATACCTATTTTCAGGTACACAATTCAATCCATAACATTCCACCCTTTGACCACTTAAACTT